AGGAGGGGGCGGGCAGAGGGGAGGTCAGCCGTCCCCCAGACAGGCTCAGAGGCTCGGACACATTCCTGTTAGGGGCAGCCTCAGTTGCTCCCCACAGAAACTGCACAGGGGGTTATTTTGTGATTTAAATTACGTGCTTTCCGTAATATGATAAAAGATATGAACTGTCTTAACCCGAAGGTCAGACTCATGTTCCGTGGTGAAATCCTGGAAGTATTCCTATTATAGTTCATGACAACTATTATTTAACACAGTTCTGGAAGTAACTTGCAAATAGGCCAGAGAGATATAAAGTATAAACAGTATGAACATCCAAAGGAAAAAGTTAATATTTTAGGAAATATGATTATATACCTGGAAAACCAAAATAAATCAACTAGAAGGCTTGGCGGATACATCGACTAGGGAACACGCAAGTGGATACAGAATTGGCATCGGGTTGCACTGGCTTTTCCCTACACAACACGGCCAGAGACGGAGAGGGGAACCACCAGGCACAGACACCGGCAGAAGCTATAAAATAACTAGAACGAAATTCACAAGAAATCTGTGGGCCCTCTACGAAGAAAACTATAAAACTGCTAAAGACCATAAAAGGCGTGAAGAGAGAGCGTTGCTCTTCAACAGGAAAGCTCATGATTGTGTGTGGCAGGCAGACGACAGCCCCCGAAGATGTCCACATCCTAAATCCCGGAGCCGGTGAGCATGTTCTCTTACCCCGCAGAGGAACGTCCTCTGACCTGGCAGATGGCGCTGAGGCTGCTAATCAGATGGCGTTAGTGTGGGGAGATTATTCTGGATTATCTGAGTGTGCCCAGTGTAGCATCATCACCAAGGCCCTGAACTGGGCAGAGGGAGAACCAGACAGACGTTGCTGGCTCTGAAGGTGGAGGAAGGGCCCGTGAACCAAGGAACCCAGGGGACCTCTAAAACCTGAGAAAGGCAAGAAAAAGATTCTCCCCCAGAGCCTCTGGAAGGAACACAGCCCTGCTAATACGTTGATTTTAGCCCGGCGAGTCCCACCTCGGACTTCCGGCCTACAGAACCGTGAGACAGTGAGTTTGTGCCGTCGAAGCCACTACGCCGTGGTCGTTTATCACGGCAGCAGTAGGAAACTAACGCAGCATCTGTGCCGATTCTCTCGAAAGTAACGTACAATTTTACTGCAGTCTTAAAGTAAATCCCACAGAATTTTGAGATAGTTTGACAAAATGATTCTAAAGTTCACCTAGAATAAACATATGTGGATAACTAAAAAAAAACTGAAAAAGAAGAAGAGTGAGCAGCAGCTAGCCCTCCGAGCAGCAAGGCACATAACACAGAGAGGCGCCAGCTGGAGAGGCCTCAGAATCCGTGAAAGACCAAAGTATATAAACGCGTAATGGAGTTTGGCATGTGACAAAGAAGACATTTCAAATCAAGGCGGGTGGTGGTGGTGAGGGGCTGGTCAGTAAGCGGCTTGGGGACAACTGGCTTCCCTCCTTTACCCCTGCGGCAAAACAAATTCCTTAGGAATCAAAGATTTGAATGTTTGAATATTTTGAAACCAAAAGCATCTAGAGGAAATCACAGCTTTTTGAGCACGGCATGAAAAACAGAACCGAGAAAGGAACATATGACGAAAAAACACTTTGTCTCTGGTGTAACATGGGCAACTGGATACACCTTCTCCTCCCTTTTCCAAGAGACCTCCCCCAACCCCCCGTGTGCAAAAAGGCACTGCACGAAACGACTGGGGACCTAGCCAGGCTCTGGAGCCAGAATGTCTGGCTTTTATTGATATCTATTCCACCACCTACTGCTGTGTGATCTGGAGATCGTTTCTTAACCTCTCTGGTCCTCAGTTACCTCATCTGTCAAGTGGTGATAAGAGAACCCCTGCCCGGTAGGGCCGTTGTGTAGATTAAATGGGTTGATGAACGTTGGTAGTTAGAACTTAGGATGCGATGTGCAATGGATGTAGCTATTCTCATAAAGACCCGAACCATCTGCCAAGAAAAATCAGTTCAGTCCTTAGTTCTCCAACGTGAGTGGACAGCAGAAAATGCTCGGTCACAGGGCCCAGCTGTGTAAGAGAGAGGAACGAAACGGACCCGTGAGGAAACAAGAGACAGGGAACAGACGGTAACTTGCGGGAGGAAAAACCCTGCTTGACGTCCTCTGTAAACACGAGAAAGAGATGCTGCCAGTAAAAAGCAGGGAACAAAGAACTCTTAAAAATTAAGACTTAAATTGTTAAGCTTAAAAAAAAAATCAATAGAACGAACAAAAAGAGAAAGTGGAGGAAACCGCCCAGATGCCGGATTGAAGAGACAGACGGAGCGTGTGGAGAAAGGGGAGGACCACGGACGGGCACCCCGGAGGACCAGGACCTCCCGCAAGAGAAGGCAGAGAGAAAACAGTAAGAAATAAGACCCGAGAAAAGGTTTTGTTAAAAAGGAATATTTAATGAGCCTAGAGAGGACACAGGCCTTTTCATTGGAAGGGCTCACAGTGGGAGCTGCAATAACCCGACAAAAACCACCCTGGACCGTTCCCCAGTTTACGGTGAAGGTCCCAAAGCTTCCAGGGGAAAAAGGTAGGCGGCCTAGGAAGGAAGGAAATCCAGACTCTCCACACATTCTAAGCAGCCACTCTGCCAGTTAGAAGCCACAGACAAACGCCGTTCAAGTCCTACAAGGAAGGACTGTTGTGAATAGGCTGCTGTGCCCAGCCATGTCAATCATAGGTAAGGGCAGAATCATGACATCTTTAGACAACAAGAATTTGGGAAGTTTACCTCCCAAATACGCTTCCTTTGGTAAATGAGATCCTTCTTCAAGAAAGAAGGCAGCTTCAGAGTCCTGGAATTGCCGGGCTCAGCCCAGGAAAGCAGCAGCAGCGAGTTCCAAGAAGGCCTCTGTGGGAGAGGCCCAGACAGCAGCAGCCCAGCGTGGGGAGGAGACAGAGGCTCCCCAGGGGGTCTCTGGGAGAACAGGGACTCTGCGCCATACACAGTGTGCTGCAGAGAAGCTGGGAGACTTGAGGACATGATACAGGCATGCAAGAAAATAAAAGGCAATTAGAAACTCCCAGAAAAATAAAGAGCTGGACAATAAAGCAATGGTCCAAATACAAAGCAAAGTGAAATATTACATAATGTTAAGAAACTGACGGAGTCAAATAAAAAAGAATCCACTTGGCTTTGGTGCTGCAATAACCTGACAAAAAATACTCAGATGACACGAAGAGTCAATTTATAGTCAAGGAAATACAAAGGCTAATAAATAAATGGAGGCCGGGCACGGTGGCTCACGCCTGTAATCCTAGCTCTCTGGGAGGCCGAGGCGGGCGGATTGTTTGAGCTCAGGAGTTCGAGACCAGCCTGAGCAAGAGCGAGACCCCGTCTCTACTAAAAATAGCAAGAAATTAATTGGACAACTAAAAATACATAGAAAAAAAATTAGCCGGGCATGGTGGCGCATGCCTGTAGTCCCAGCTACTCGGGAGGCTGAGGCAGGAGGATCGCTTGAGCCCAGGAGTTTGAGGTTGCTGTGAGCTAGGCTGACGCCGCGGCACTCTAGCCCGGGCAACACAGTGAGACTCTGTCTCAAAAAATAAATAAATAAATAAATGGAAAGATGCTAGACCTCACTAACAGTTCTTTAAAGGAGCCTTTGAAAAGCAAAAATACTTCGCCTATCGGTTTAACGTGCAGTGTGCACTCTCACACAGCGTGGGTGGCTTTGTCAGTGAGCACAGAGTTTTTGGAGGCTGCTTTGGCAGGATCTGCGTTAGTTTAAATGTTCCCTCCCGACCCGCAGTCACGGTGGCTGGCTGCTGACCCCACCACCAGGGATCGCCTTGCAGGAAAGGAATTGGAGAGGTCTGCAGGGTGGACGTCCAGGAAGCCCCAGGACTTGGGCGCCTCTGGGGGATTGGGGCAGCTGGTGGGGGAATGCAGGCCCAGCTTAAAGCCCGCAGGGCCCCCACCTGGCCCCAAATCCCCCCCTCAGGGGACCAGGAGCTCACAGGGGGTGTTGAACAACCAAGACTCAGCTTGCAGGGCTGGGCCAGTGGACACCGAGGCCCCACACCGTCCCTTGCCCCGCTGGGCGAGACTTCCAGAGCAAGAGGTCCCAACCGGAGAGACGCGTCCTTCTCAAGAACCGACAGGTGGCCAAGAACCAAGGACATCAAAATCAGAGACCACTCAAAGAAAGAGCATGAAAGCCACTGCGCAGAAACAGAGCAAAGCCGGAGTAGAAGAGAGAAGAGAGGCGGTGTCCTCGGACAGGACAGCGCGGGATCCGGCCGGCGCAGGGGCAGCCGTGCCGGACTTGAAATCCAGCGCAGCCCCGAGATTAGGGGCATCAGGAAGGGCGAGAGAGACTCCCTGAAGCTGGAACGAAAACACAAGGGAATGGAAAATGGGAGGAAAAGATCAGAAAATTAGATGGTCCATTCCGAAGGTCTCATTTCCAAACAAAATAGGGTGGAGAAGGGAGCAGAGGAACCGAGGCAGGAGATGGCGAACCCACGACCGACCGAGGAGAACCCAGGAACCTGAGGCCCCAGGCCCAGTGAGTGCCCAGATGTTTCTTTTCTTTGACAAATACAGGCTCTGCACACCGGGGCTGCTCGCTGATTGCTGAGAACTCGGCAAACAGACAAGCACCCACCCGCCCTGGGAGCTGAAATTCCCACATTCTGAGACCAACCAACCAATCAGCTGTGTCCGGGCCACCAGGCTGCAAAGCAAAGCCGAGGGAGAGGTGTCACGGGCGCCGGGCTCCGGGCTCAGCACCTCAGTGTGGGGGCAAGTTTGGGGGGGTCCAGGAGTGTGGACAGGCGGCCAGACTGCAGGGAGAGATGTGGGCTGGGCTGGGAGCACAGGTGTCCCAGGTGTGTCCAGGCGTTCTGAGCGCCTGGAGTCAGGAGAGGCTGGGAGGGCGGACAGCCTGCACAGGTCGGGGAGAGGAGAAGCCAGCGGCCCGGGGTGGGGGTGGAACTGGAGGGGAGAGCCAGAACCAGATGCGGAGGAGAGAGGAGGTTCCCGGAAAGAAGCGCTGCAGCACGTTTGTACGACGGCGGAAAACCCAGCGGCAGGAGAAAAACCTGGTGGAGCGGAGGAGAGAGGTGAGGACCACGGAAACATGTGGGACGGAAAAGGCCACCAAAGCACACCAGGAGACCGCTAGGAGGACTGAGGACGAGGAGAACAGTGGGAAAACAGTCAACGTAGAGCGTCACTTCTCGCGAGTGAGTCCTCAGTAAGAGGGAACTAGGGAGGGACAAGACTCCGGTTCCCAGGCGGCTTCTCAGGGAGCTGCTGGAAAACACATTCTGATGAGATAGGAGGCGACTGAGGAAGAGGAAGACGTGGACTCAGAGACAAGCATCGTGGAGAGGGTGAGGGGCTTCCCTGACGATGGGGGCAGGACGGTGCCAGGAGGGTCTCCAGGGACAGACCAGGTGGAGGACCCCCGGGTCTGAACACACCGGGAGGCTTTTGCTATTTTTAGTGCTGGCAGAGAGTTTGAGATTAATTGGCAATATGCACGTATCTTACAGAATTTAAGCAAACACGCACACAAAATGGAGCAATGATTTTCTCCGGAGAAAACAAAAAGGCATATATCGATTGATCCAAAAAGACTCATTTCACCGAGGAAGGTGAGGTGAGGAAAGGTGTGTGTGATAAAGGATGCTCCCTGCAGCTCAGGAGTGGAAATGACCCAAACATCCACCAGCTGAAGGGGTAAATGAATTCAGGTGCATCCCACAGAGGACTGTGCAACGCAGACCCACGCAGAAAACACCCACGGTATGTGCTCAGTGGAAGAGCAGGTACAAGTATCCCAGGACAGAGCAACTTTGGTTAATGGTGCTTGTGTGCACATAAATTCGTGAGGGTCTGGAAGACCCGCTAGACTGTGCCTGGGATTGAGGAGCTGGGGTCTCTCCAGGTTTCGCTCACATGTTTCTATATTGGGTTTCTACTTGTTCTGAGCACGCATTATTTAAAGGCGGAGTGGGGGGAACAAACCCACACGGGTTGAGTCAGTGGGGAGGGTCGGAGCGGCAGCCCTACCTGCCCAAGATGAAGGCGATGTATATGAGGGAGGAGAAGTGTGCAAAGAACTGCAGGATGAAGAACCGGACCGTGAACTTGCTCTCCCGCTCCGAGAAGGTCCTGGGCTTCTCTGGAATGAGACTCGGCCTGTCCCTTGCCAGCCCTGGGGACCTTGCCAGCCCTGGGGCCCTTGCCTCTCTCCTGATCCGAGCAGCCAGCCTGCTCGAGGGTGAGGCCCGGCGACAGCAGGAAGGATCCCTCCCCAGGTCTCTGATCATGGCTCCAAGACTCCCAGCCCCGGATCCTCCCGCTGCGTCCCCTCCTCTCACCAAAGTCACAAAGCTTCAGGGCCACGAACTTGTTGACCTGCAGGAGGAGGGCACTGAGTGGGGCTCACCAGCCTCAGAGGCCCCCCGGCCTGCCCCCGCCCTGCCCCACCCCTACCTTGGTCATGACGACGATGGTCACATAGTGCACCAGGGCCCCGGTCACCACCACGGCCGTGGTCACCTGCTCCTCCAGGAAGGGCAGGGCCGAGCTGCTGAAGAGGGCGGCGGCCAGCACGCGGTAGACCACCAGGCCGTGGGCCATGCCGATCATGAAGCAGATCTGCAGGGCGGCTGGCATGGGTGGGGTCTGGGGAGGGGCTGCCCCAGCTGGGCCCCCAGCCCCCACGCGGCTTCCCCAGGAATACCATGAACAGGGACAGGGCGAGGATGACGCTGCTGCGCAGGTAGGAGTGCTGGTGCAGCCGGAGCTTGTAGTCGGGGCAGTTAATGAGCTGGAGCGCCATTTCCTCCTGGGGAGGGCCCCGGCAAGCCTCAGAGGCAGGGACACATGCCGTGGGCATGGGACACACGCCTCAGACACAGAGACATGCCTCAGACACGGGGACACACCTCAGACGTGGGCACACATGCCTTGGATAAAGGGACAACCTCAGACGTGGGACACGGGCGTGGGTGCGTGGGGGTGAGAGCACACAGGCCCGGCATAGGGGGCTCAGCCCTGCCTCACCTGGTCCTCGTCCCACCCGTACAGGTCCCAGTGCAGCACCACGCGGGCTCGCTGCCGCTTCCAGATCTCCAGGAACACTGTGGCTGCGTGATAGGGAGGGGCGTCAGGTGCGGCCCTGGGGTGGCCTTGGGCAGGGCGTGGGGTCGGCCTGGCGCTCAGGCCCCACCGTGCCCCATAGAAGCGCCAGGTGGCAACTCACCCCACAGAGCCATGAAGATGGCAAACAGCACCGTGCCGTCGTTGTCGAAGAGGTGTGTGAGCTGGGGAGAAAGGGGGCGCGCAGGGTAGAATGGGGGTACGCTGGGAAGAAGGGAGGATGCACTGGGATGGGCCTCCTCGCCAGCCCCCGCAGAGGGTGAGCTCTGCGGGTCCCGGGCCTCAGCCCATCTCCAGCGGGACACACCTGCCCGCCCTTCCAGGCCTAGGGTGGACCCCCGGGGCAGCGAACCTTGGCAAAGGTGCAGGTGTCTGAGAGCCGCTGGAACCTGCGGCCGTGGTCGCCGAGAGGACACAGAAAGATGGTGTGGGCGGCACAGATCTCCCTGCTGGGGTGCGGGGATGGGCTGGGGGTGACTCTCTGGAGCACAGACCCCGGCCTGGCCCACCCGGCCCCGCCCACGCCCCCCACAGGTCGCCAGACCCTGCCCACACCCCTCCCATCCCGCCCACAGGTCTCCCGGCTCCGCCCACAGGCTGCCTGTGGCCCCGCCCACCTGATCTGGCTGGACTCGAACAGAGTGAACCCGCTGAGAAAGATGCCGAGGCCCACCAGGGCTGCGGGCACCAGCATGTAGGTGTACCAGCCGAGCCAGGCGAAGTAGAGCGCCACCTTCTCCCCGAAGTAGTCCCTGTGGGCACAGCTGCCCCATTAGGGCCACCCTCCCCCCACCGGGTGGCCGCCACGAGGGCCAGTGCCTAGGTGGGGGGGGGGGCGGTGGCCAGAGGGGCCTAAGTGGGGTGCGGCCACACGTGGGGGAGGAGTGTCTGTCCTAACGGCATCAGTGTCCAATCGGGGCGCGTCCGTGGGGCAGGTGCGGGGCGCAGGCATGTCTGTGGGCGCAGGCGACCTGTCGGGCAGTACTACCTGATCTGGTCGATGGGCTGCCTGTGGGCCATTTTCCTCCACTGGGCCCAGGTCTTCTTCAGCTCTGCCTCCCCCTGGCACAGGTGAGGGACATTGAGAGCTCCTGTCCCGGGGCCCTGCCACAGGCCTCCTCCCAGCCGGCCTGTCCCTCACCTTGTGCAGGGGGAACCTGGCCTCAAAGACTCCATCCTTCACCAAATTCTCAAATGTCTCTGAGGGTCACAGGGCATCTTGAGTCAGAGGGGGTGAGGGCCAAGGGAGATCCTGCTGGCAATACCCGTGTCGGGCCCCTCTGGCCACCGCACCCCCAGCCCTTACCGCCATCTGCCGTCGTGTTGCTCAGGACGAAGTTCAGGATTCGGATTCTGAAACCCAAGAGCCAGGTCAGGAGAGCCCCGAGTGAGCTCTGTGGCCTCCAGGTCCTGACTGGCCCTCTGGTCTGGCCAGGCCCACGCCCCTCCCTGTCCTGGAGGGTCCCCCAGACCACCAGCCCTGACCAGAGTCCGAAATGCAAGACCCACCTGGAAGCCCACCGCCCACCCTCTGCAAAGTCCTCCCAGTTTGGCCTGACCCACAGCCTCCAGGACGGGGTTCTGCCCGGCTCCCCTCCACCTGCACTCCCTCCTGGACTCTTGGCCACACCCTACTCCAGTCGCGCCCCCACCTGCCAGCCCTCCATGTCCAGAGTACCCCTGAGCTTCATGTGCACAAACCCCCTTGACCCTGGCGAGCTGTTCTGCCCATGCCAGACTGCAGTTCAGGGAGGGCGAGGAGCTTCCCACTCCGCACAGCCAGGGGTCTGACCACAGGGCCCCTCTGGGGAACCTGCTCCAGGTCAGCTACCACTGCCCAGACTCCCTCTCACTCCTCCCAGACCGCGGTTTTGCCTTCACAGGGGCCTCCGCGGCCCAGGAACCAGTAGTTACAGGAGCGCCTTGGCCAGCCCCGGCCAGGGCCTAAGTGGGCCAGGTGGGGAAGGGCCGAGGGTGGGCTCCAATGGAGCAGGTGGCTCTCCCTGCCCGGCCTCCAGGTCTGTGCCTGGGAGAGCCAGGGTCAGATGTCCAGGGAGGTGCAGTCTACCTGGAGAGGAGGGCTCTGCGGGGGAGGATGGCCTTGGAGTCCAGGAGGGCTGGGGGGCCTCTGGGCCTCTCCAAATCCTGCCCACTCCTCAAGTCTGGCTCGACTCTGGACCTTCGGGACCCTCCAGAGGTCAGAACTGGCATCACCCCTCATCATGGACATGGAAACTGAGGCACAGTGCAGTGCCAACACAGCCAGTGGGTCTGAGCCCCTGTGGCCTCCACCCCGAGACCGCGTGGGGCCAGGCCAGTCGTCCTGCATCAGGGGACACCGGGAGCCTTGGACGTGGCCCCTCGCCCTGCCTGGACCAGGCTGTGGGTGGGCGAGGGTCCTCTGGCCGTGGCTCTGGGCAGGGCCTCTCACCTGGTGGTGGCTGGGATGGGGCTCGGCGTCTCTGGCTCCACTCTGGGCGCAGGGCCCTCGGGCTCCACCAGGAGGGTGCGGTACAGGTCAAAGATGCTGTTGTCGGCTCGGATGCCAAAGAACACCTGTTTCTGGTCTTTTTTCACCTGGGGCGGGGGCCACACGGGACCCTCTGTTCCATCTGGGAACCCTGCCGCCGCAGCCACAGCCCCTGGCCTGTCCCCAGCACCTTGGGCACAAGGCCATGCGCCCTCCCCAGGCCCCGCCCCTGGGCCCCCGTGGAGGAGCACACCTTGAAATGGAAGCCCTTTCTCCTGAGCTCCCCCAGGAACTGCTGCTGCCGGTACACCTGCTTGGGGATTCTCTGGGTGCTGCTGTCAGCCACGAGGACGTAGTCCCATTGCTCAGAGGCCTCGGTCTGCAGGAGGGAGGCGCATGGCGGAGGGCCCGGGGCACAGGCAGGGCAGGCGGGACCAGGCCGGGGAGGGGTCCCTCGACACCCACCTCACAAGCGTGGATCTCTGTCAGCGGGAAGCTGTCCCCTTCTGTTCCCACCAGGATCTGGAGGCTCTCGTCGCCCTGGGGGTGGGGGGTAGACAAAGGAATGGGGAGAGCCCGGTGGGTAAGCCCTGGGGGGGTCAAGACACACTGCCCCTCCCCCACAGCACTGGGGGAGAGGCAGCCAAGAACAAGTGACAGGTCGCTTCAGGGGCAGGCGGGTTCAGAGGGCAGCAGCAGGGCAGGGGCCAGAGGGCCAGGACTGCAACAGCCAGCGGAGGTCTGCGTGGGGCTTGCACGAGAGCTCCTGCAGATCACACAGGAAGATGGTTTCCCGAGCAGGAGCCCCAGGAGCGGTCAGCGGACCAGCACAGGCACTTGCAGACTGCCGGCGGCTGAGCACGGGCGCCTGACTGTGAGAGAGACACTCTGCACCGAGGTTAAAGTCAAACACCCCTAGACTGACCCCACGGCCTGGCCGTCCGCCCCTGGAGATGAACACAAAGGCATGTGCACGGTAGCACCGCTTCATAGCCCCCTGGGGGTGGAGGCATGGAGACGCTGAGCTCCTCCACACGGGGAGGGTCCCGGACAGGCGACACGAAGGTGTCTCAGCTGCATGTGTCTGAGGAGCAATTGTGTGGCCCTCCGGGACAGAGGGGTGAGTCAGGAGGGAGGGGCTTCCCCGGCCTCAGAGTCTCTCCCTGACCATCTGACCATGACTGGGTAGCCTGGAGGAGTCGAAAACCCTTGTATGCCCCTCCCTCTTTTTTTTTTTTTTTTTTGAGACAGTCTTGCTCTGTTACCCTGGGTAGAGTGCAGTGGCATCAGCCTAGCTCACTGCAGCCTCCAACTCCTGAGCTCAAGCGATCCTCCCGCCTCGGCCTCCCGGAGTGCTGGGACTACAGGTGTGAGCCACCGTGCCTGGCCACTCCTCCCTTCTTGAGTGTGGGCTGGACTAGTGACTCATGAAGACAGTGTGGGAAGGGAAGAACAGTCCCTTTGCACGTCCTGCAGACTCCCTGACCCACTGAGGAGGTTCAAGTTTGCCTACAATGTCATCTTGATGTCAGGGACCCCATGGGACATGAGGACAGGACAGGTCCTCCTCCCTCCCCGAGAGGAAACACCGGACAAGTCCAAACGGAGGGACGTCCTCAGCAGCCTGGCCACACTCACAGAGGTTAGAGCACCAAGACCTGAGGGACAGGGCAGTCCCAGCTGGCAGTGCCTGGGGAGGCACAGGGACCCCAGAGGGACAAGGCCTGCAGCAGGAGTGTACCGAGAGAGGGGTGGGCACGCTGGGGGCTGTGTCCACTCGAGCACCCTGCCCAACCCCTCCCCTCCACCCTGCAGCCAAGTCAAGCTGCTCCCCCAGACTGAGTGGGCAGGCAGGGGTGCCACCCGCCCCACCATCCCCAGGGCAGGAGTTGGGGGAGTGGGTCTAGCCCAGGCTGTCTCTCCTGCTGGGCCAGACCTTCTCCTGCCAGCCCCCACCTGCAATCCCTGCCAAGCCCAAGACCTGCCTCCTCCAGGAAGTCTCACTGGACTGCTCCAGCCAGTCGGCCCTCCAGGGCTGCCAGGTGAAATAGGCCACCCAGCCACATCTGAATTTCAGATCAGCAGCAGATACTTATTAGTGTAAGTGTGTACCAACGATTGCATGGGACATACTTATACTAAAAGAATTGTTTACCTGAAATTCAAATTGTTTTGCTAAGTCTGCAGCCCTGCTCCAGTCCACGCACACACACACCCAGGAGCTGCTGGCTCCAGGACAGGGCCTCGTCTGCCCCCTTCTCTCCCTCTGCCTCAATCGCAGAGGCCAGGAAAGGCACCAGACCCGACCACAGAATGGCAGGTGCTCAGGCAGAAGACGCTTCAGTCACGTGGAGATGGGCCCAACCCCCTGGGCACTGAGGTCCTCACCCCAGTGGCTTCACGGGGCTCCCTCGGCCCTCTGGCCCCTCTGAGAGTGGCCATTCCATCTGCCCCGCCAACCCTTCCTCTGACAACACTCTCCCCTTCTGGGGCCCGACTCACGAGTACCGCCCGTCCTGCCCCCGAGAGCCACAGACACGTGTGCTAAGGCATGGCATGCAGCACCTGAAACCTGCCCCCCGTCTTGGGTCAGAAGAGAAGCCTCTGGCTGGGAAAGGCACCTCTGTCTCAGGGAAGAGGGCAGAGGCTCCACCAGGTGGGACACTGGTGTCACTGGCACCCAGCTCTGTGGCTTGCCCAGGTAAGGGCCAGGAAGTGCCATGTGGAGGAACTGGAGAGTGGAAGGCTCCTCACCTGACCTCCAGCCCAGGAGGGGGCCCTCCCCATCCCGCGCGTCCACGTCCCCAGCTCCTCTGGCAGAGGCTGACACTAGAGACCCCCTCGCGTCAGCATGGACCAAAGCTGAAGAGCAGGTGGGGTGAGGGCCCCACACCAGGCAGGACTTTGGGGTGACTCAGACAGAGGAGCCTGGGAGGGGACTGTCCATGGGGAACTCTCAAAGTGGGAGGTGGTGATCGCCCTTAGCCCCAGAAATGGGGCACAGAAAGCCCCCTCCCCACTGAAGGCAAAGTGTAGCTCTGGGACGGTTACCCCAAGCCTCTCAGAGTCACCCTCCCTGGGGGCTGGGGTGTGAGCTGCTCCCGTGGACAGTGACGCCGCCCAGGGCCTCTGTCAGGGCATCCTCGCCACGGACATGGACTGCTGGACAGGGATCCCAGGCAAAACGACCCGCACGCCTGGGGCCTGCACCAGTCCCTGGCTGCCCTCAGCTGCCCCCTTGGCAGGGGCAGAGCCACTCGAGCAGGCAGGTCAGAGAGCCCCAGCCCAGCTCCCCACAGCCAGGCAGACCGGCTCAGAGACTCTGCTGTCCTCACACTCCGGGCTGCGCAGCCCGGCCCCATGGACACAGCCCCAAGCCCCAGGGTCAGGCTACGCATCTGCCCATCTGTCCTCCAGGCCAGTGTTTACAGAGCCACACCTCACGGTCCCCTGGCCTGACACCCACAGGACCCCAGCTTCTCAGCACAACCTACGGGACCCCCATGGGTCGGGGCTCACCTGAAGTCCCCCCTTCAGCCAGGCAGACTGCTCACTCAGCTCGCCTGAAGCAAGGTGTCCGGGACCCCCATGTCCCCAGCCCAGGTCCGCGAAGCCGTGTGTGGGCCCACCAGGCTCCCAGATCCCCAGGGCAAGGGTCGGGGTGACCCACCCACTCAGCCTTGCCACATATGGACCCACACAGTGCAGGTCTGGGCAGACGGCTGGCAGGCCCCAGCTCTCTGTGCCTCGGTTTCTTCCTCTGTAGAATTGGGTGACCCTCACCCCTGCCTCACGGTCACCCCAAAGATGTGCCCATGCAGGAAGAGGGTGGACGAAACCACACACCTGGACACTGTCCTCCCTCCTGTCCTTCCTGCCCCAGCCCTACGGGCCACACGCCCCATGGTAGGCATGGGCCAGGGTCCCTGGGGGGGAGCACGCTGGCTCCAGATGAAGAGACTTCTGGGGATGCTGCGGCTCCCGGGAGACGCTCTCCCCACGGCTGGGAGCAGGAAGGCTCAGAGCTGGGGTTCTGCCCATCCGGCCCCTTCCCTGTCAGCTCCGGAGCAGGCCTGGCCGGAGGGTTCACGGTCACACACCTGTGGCAGCACCTCGTCCTGAGGGCCTGTCACACTCCTCAGCAGCGCTCTGGGCCCTTCAGGTTAGGGTTAGGGTTAGGCACCAAGAGGGGCTCTCCTGCCCCGACCCAGTGCACAAGCCCTGAGAGGCCTGCCTTGCTGAGCCAGGGCTCCTCACCTCCACCCAGCCTGGACACCCGCTGACCACCCTCCCTGAGCAAACCCTCCCCACCTGGCTCTGCTCTCTGAGCTCCCAAAGCCATAGTCGGCCCCTCCCCCGGCTGGCCGTTGTCTGTCATCTGTCAGTTCATCCTTTCACGTGTCCGTCCATCCGTCCATCCTGAGACACTGGTGAGGTGGCCGTCCTACGTGCAGCCCTTGCGGGCAGCGCACGGTGAGGGTGCACACAGGGGCTGCCACCTGCTTGGCAGGGAGGTGGCCTTGTAGGGAAAGAGGTTGACAGAAGGCAAAAAAGTGGAGCAGCATTCCCGGGAGAGAAAGCATGTGTGGACAGGCCCTGAGGAGCAGGGTGCAGCCAGTGCCCAGAATTCAGCATTCAGCACCTCCCAGGGACTCAGCACTCAGTACCTCCAGGAACTCAATACTCAGTGCTTCTCAGGGACTAAGCACTAAGCACCTCCCAGGAACTTTGTACTCAGCACATCCCAGGGACTTTGTACTGTGCACCTCCAAGGATTTAGTAGCTACCACTCCTGGTGACTCAGTACTTAGCACCTATGAGGACTGAATCTTAGTCCTCCCAGGGACTCAGTCCTTGGCACCCCAGCTTTGCAGAAGCATAAAGGGCATACAGGGAGCTGTCCAGAGGGGAGGCTGCAGGTTGGCAGAAGCCAGACCGGGGAAGTCTGCCCAGGCAGCTGGGGAGCTTACATGTCAGCAGGGGGAAGAGGGGAGCCATGGAAGGGGTTGGAGTCAAGGAGGGCCATGCCCAGACCCAGCCTGGGGCTGGGACCACCAAGTCCTCCCGAATCCTCCCCTTTCAAAGGACTGACGCTCTCACCTCAAACAAGCCGGGTCCCCACCCACCCCTGCCAGCACTGGTCCTCCTCCACCCCCAGCTTGGGGCTGGCATGGGGAGGGAAGGGGCTGGCCGAGGGGACCCTGAGGTCAGACCAGCGGGTGTCCACATGCTGGCCTGAGCAGCCAGGGTGCCAGAGCTGCGTCTGGAAGGGCCAAGAGCCCTGGACAGAGGTGGAGTGAGAGGCCACCTGCTCAGCCCACACCTGGGAGGCCGAGAGGGAGGCTGGTCTCACTCTGCACTGCAGCACTGGGCCAGCCCAAATTGACCTCTTCGCTGGTAGAGGGGAAAGGGCCTCTTCCTGGGTGTTCCCCTGCCCCCTTCCCTGAGCCCCACAGCCCTCTACTCTGCCCCTGGAACCAGAATCCAGCAGTGGCAGGACCCCCAGGAGCAGAGGGCCACCACCCAGCTGGCCACCCTGTTCCTCCCCAACCCCAGGTCTGCCCGCCCTGGAGCCCACAGCCCCCTCCTGCTCAGGTGCCAGCTGCAGGGCAAAGTCGCACAGTCTGGGGGTCCTTGTCACGGTGCAGGGCCCAGGGTGGGCGTGCCCTCTCCTTGGACTGGATGCTCTGGTAGAGGCCCAGGTCCCACGGGCTCACTAAGAGCCCAGCCCTGCGGTGGGAGGGAAGCTGCCCTCCTCGCCCTGCCCCAGAGGTCAGGGGGGCAGCTGGGTCCACCCCAGCTCTGGCCACCCTCACGGCCCTGGCCGACTGCAGGGAGCCCCCACAGGCTCTCCCAGGTTAGGCGGCTGGGGCCAGGGGATGGCAGGTGGGTGTGGCGGGGAGGGGTCCACAGGTGTGGACCCTGTGGGCCCTGGCTCACCTGCATGCCGCGTCCTGGAGTCCTGGCGGGTGGCAGACCCAGTGCGGCTGGGAGGCGGCACATCTACCTGACTTCCGCGTGGGACTTGCCCCTCCTCCTACTTGGCCCCTCCCGCTGCCCTGGCCCTGCCAGGTGCAGCCAGGGAGGAGCCAGCCCCGGCCAGGAAAGCCCCTATCCCCGGGCCTCAAGACACCTTCAGGACACCTTCCAGGGGCCTGGGGACAGGTGGGGGTGGGGGAGTCTCCCCATGGTACCCCTGCCCTTCCCCCACTGGCCATCACCCTCCCCTGAGGAGGGGGCTTTGCCGTAAGAGGGGGTTCCATGACATCCTCTCCTGAGGGGAGCAGCTGGGCAGGGAGGCCTCAACAGATGGGCACTCGCCAGGACCCCCAGCCGTGACTCTCTGGCCCCAGGGCACATCCCCCATGCTCCCTCCAGCACCCAACCTCCACCTCCACGCCTGTCCAGGGCTTCTCCCTTGGAGAGGAAATGGTGCAGAGGATTGAGCACGAGACAGGCCCCCACTTCTCCCACTCTGAGCCCCTGCCGTGTGGACCCCAGCTGGTGGGCCCTTGAGCTCTTGGGGACACCTGGCTGGCTGAGCTGCATGGAGGACTGCGGGGGAGGCCCCCACATCCCCAGTCCCGAGCAGTTCTGGGCAGTCTGGGCTGAGGGCAGCACTGGGGCTGCAAGGGTGGCCTGAGGACGCCCACGCTGGGAGAGAGCAGATTGCCCCAAGAGGGAGGGCACCAGACCAGTGGGACGTGGCGGACGTATCCACAGCGTGTGGCAAGGAGGTCACCTCTGAAAGCTGCTGCGAAGCTCAGGAGGCAGAGCCAGAGCTCCTCAGGCAGGGCAGCTGGATGGCAGGGAGCACCCCCGGCATCACGGGGCGGGGCAGGGAGCACACCCAGCATTGTGGAGGGGGGCGGGAGCAGGGAGCATCACCCCCCACCTGCATCACAGGGTGGTGGCAGGGAGCACCCTCAGCATCACGGGGGGGCGGAGGCAGGGAGCACCCCCAGCATCATGGGGGGGTGGGGGCAGGGAGCACCCACAGTGTCACAGGACTGCATCTTCCAGCCCAGCAGCACTTCTTGCAGTTCAGGCCCAGGCTTAAGGTCTGTTTGCTCCAGTTTCCCCAAGGGACAATGTGGCCCCACCCACATTTCTTCCTGGGGGCCCCAGGCCGTGATAGCAGCAGGGACCAGGATTAAACAATGAGGTGGCAAAGTCGCAGCTCTGATGCAGCCAGTCCAGATGGAATGCGTTAAGATTTGTGTGATGGAAAACCCTAAGTGGTGGTGGCTTAAACTAGCTTCTGTATTTCTCTCTCCCACAAACGAAGCCTGGAGTCAGCTAGTCCTATACTAGTATTGCTGATTCGTAGTCATCAAAGACCCAGAATCCCTTTAACCTGTTGCTCCGCTACCTTAAACGCATGGTCCTGCCACATGGCCCAAGATGGCTGCTTGAGCTCTGGTAATCACAGCCACATTCCAGCCAGCAGGAAGAGGAAGGGGTGAAGGAGGGCCCCCTACCCTTCATGTGGTTAGTCACATGACTGCACCTTACTGCAAGGAAGCCTGAGGAGTGTGAGCTCTTTTCCTGGGAAGAAAGTAGGGCACTGGGGGAGCCCAGCAGTCTCTGCCGAGTTAGAGTTCAGAAATAGAATCAGCAAGGGTTGCTGAGCACAGGAGCAACCCCAGTTCAAGAGCCACGTTACCAACCACGCCTGGACTCTTGCTGGCAGATGCCTCCCTCCAGCCCCCAACTCAGCCTGTAGGACACTTTGTGTTTGTGCGTTCACCCTGTTAAGACAATCTGCTAGCAGGTCGTAGATTCCGCCCTGCTGCGGTATCACACAGCACAGCTGTGTGGCTGTGCTCTTCTCAATGACTTTATTTGTCATTCCCAATTTTATTGCCGCTGGAACACTGTTCTTTCTCATTCCGCCTTCCATGGGTGTCATGTGAGGGAGCCTCAGTCACACGCAGACCTGCTGCAGAGCACAGAGGTGGCCACCTGGACTTTGCACCCCCCAGGGAAGGACACTCAGTGAGGGCAGAGGGGAAGGCAGGTCTCATCCAGGCCTGTTGGGGGAGAAAATGGGTACAGCCCTCACAGAAAGCGATGCAACGGCAAGTATTAAACGCCTTAAAATTGTTTATACTTTGGGCCATTAATTTAACTTTTGTAAACTGTTCTAAGGAAAAAAATTCAAAATAATGAAAATATGTATAAATATGTCCTTTGCAGCAAAAATTATAAACCACCCAGATGTTCAACAATGGGAAAATGGCAAACATGCTATATTCATATGCTGATTAAGCGCTGTTAAAATTTATGCTTTTAAAGAGTTTATGAGAACACAGGAAAATGCTTAGGTGATGACATTATATGGAAAGAAACATAAATTACAAACACATACAAAATTTTTAATTTCAACTAACCTAAAATGCATTAAAATACTGGAAGAGTAGGTTGATATTTGATATTTATATCTTAACAACTCAGAGTGGGGAATTATCATTTTCTTCCTGTTAGTTTGTTTTCAAATTTTCTACCACAAACATGTATCAGCCTTATAAACATTATTACTAAATGTACTTTATTATCACACTAAAGTCTGCTGTGATAAACTTTACCTCCCCAGACTCAGCCTTACCCTTGCCTTCTGGTTTTGAAGAGGACACAGTGGGGTGACAACAGCCGGCCCTGCCCTGTCTTGGTGAACTTTGATCAAAGGCCTCGTGGGCTTCCCTCTCTTGCCCTGTGGACCCTGCACCCTGCTCCCTTTCCTTCCTCCTCAGACTCCAGAAGACTCTGCCCACCAGACCTCCTCCCCTGCAGGCCCCCCATGTGCCGCATTCCTGCAGGGTGAAGAGTGCCCCAGGTGAAATCCCTCACACCATTTGCCGCCCTGTCCTCTGCCCCTCTGCCCCTCGGGAGCCTGTCCTCCCACTCCCCACCCCCTGCATCCTGGGTGTGGCCCCAGACAGATGCCCGGAACCAGGACACTTCTCAGAGGCAGCACCTCCCGGATGGTGCCTCCGAGAACCTGCCTCCTGTCTTCTCTGGGCTGGTCCCAGGCGCCCTGCTGGGCCGCTCTGGCTGCAAGTGCCTGTCCAGGCAGGTGACATCCCCAGCCTTGGGCCCCTGCAGGGGAGACCCCTCTCCCAGGCTGGGCTTCTGCCCCTCAGGTCTGCCACAGGAGGGTGGAATGGGGTGGGGACCTGGCCCCTCATGTCCTCACTGCAGAGACAGTTCTGTCTCCCAGCTGTCCTCCAGCACCTTTGAGCCTTAAATTTCCAAGAGTTCCTGTTTCCTGTCTTAGGGAGCAGTCCTGCTGCCAAGCTCCCTCCCAGGTGCAGGCGTGTGGGGTGGGGTGAGTTTTCTGTGATCCGCTCCAGCGGAAACATTAGTCGTTGTTTCTTTAGGAATTCCCGGGCTTTCTCTCCCTTCCTTGCAAGGGCATTTTCGGAAAGCATTCTGCCAATATTTTCACTATTTACCACCATGAATGTGACTCCGGTAGGCCTACGGAAAGCCTGGACTCTGGCCAGCCACCCCCACGAGAACTTTGCCCGGCTCTGTCCCTAGGTACTGCTGGAGTTGGCCATTTCCTTTAAAGTCCCTGCCTCCCTCCAGCGTCTGTCAGCTGAGGAAAGCTTCTGTTCCCTGCACCCTGTCCCTGGCAGGGGCCCTCCAGTCCTGCTGCCTCCGGGGGCTGCAATGGAACACGTCCTCCAAGGTGCTCCGGGGCCTCCTCTCACCTGCCACACTATCCCTGAGCCACAAACCGCCCACATTCTGAGCCCACATCCTACAATGGACTCCACCGGTCCACGGGAGCTGTTCCCGAGGAGGCGAGGTGGGCACTTTTGCAGCTGAGCGTGCGACCTAAGGGTGGAGTGGAGGTGAGACCCGGGGTGCAAAGCTGCAGGTTGAGGGCTCCCTTCAGGTGCGGGGATTCCGGGGAGAGGTTCTGGGGTCCGTGGGAAAGGAGCTGGGCGCGGGCGGGGGTGGTCACCAACCTTTCCGTGCCACAGTTTCTCCGTCTCTAAGTGAGAGACAGAAATACAACCTAAGGCTGGCCGGGCGCGGTGGCTCACGCCTTAATCCTAGCTCTCTGGGAGGCCGAGGTGGGCGGATTGTTTGAGCTCAGGAGTTCGAGACCAGCCTGAGCAAGAGCGAGACCCCGTCTCTACTAAAAATAGAAAGAAATTAATCAGACAATTAAAAATATATAGAAAAATTAGCCGGGCATGGTGGCACATGCCTGTAGTCCCAGCTACTCGGGAGGCTGAGGCAGGAGGATCGCTTGAGCCCAGGAGTTTGAGGTTGCTGTGAGCTAGTATGAGGCCACGGCACTCACTCTAGCCTGGGCAACAAAAGCGAGACTCTGTCTCAAAAAAAAAAAAAAAAAAAAAGAAATACAACCTAAGGGGTGTGAAGATCACGACAGCGTTTGTACAGCGTTGGGAATGCTTGCTGGCCCGTGGCCAGAGGCCGGTAGTAACTGCTAACTGACGCGTGGTCTGCGCGCCCAGAGCCGCACGAAGGGCAGACGGCCCCCCGCGCCCTCCCGGATCGCGCCCCGTGCCCGCCCGGAGCTTCCCTGCCCGAGCGACCTTCGAGGCTCCGGGGAGCCCAGCGGGCCGGGTCATCCCTCCGCCCCGCTGCTCTCTGTGCCGTTTGGCGGCAACATCCGTGCCCAGGAAAGGAGCCCAACAGCACCGGACGCCGCCAGACGCCAGGAGAGGCCGGAGGGCCCCTGCAGGATGGCTCCCCGGGAGAGAGAGGTGGGCAGCAGCCGGCCTGCTCTGGGCACCACCTCCCCGGGCAAAGCAAGTCCCTCCGTGTCAACCTGTGCGGGCCAGTGCCCGGGGACCACCCGCCCGGTGCTCCACCGCGCGGCGGGCGACGCTGACCTCGCTCCCCGCTGCCTTCAGGAGGAAGTGGCCCCGGGCCCGGCCTGGCTGCTCTCTGGCCGCGTCCCCACCCAGGGCGCACGCGCTCGCGCGCTCAGGGACCGCCGCAGGGGACGGCCCGGCCCGGGGAAGCCAACGGCGGCCCCGAGGGCCCGTGTGTCTCTGGCCCGTCCGAGGCTCGGGGCACATCGGGCGAGAGGCACACACGGCAGCTTCGCCGAGCTGCGGCCGCCCGCGGCCTGCGCGCACTTGCGTCCCCGAGAGGACCCGCCCCCCCGCGGAGTCGCTCCCCTCGGCCGCGCCCGCCACTCATTTTCTCTCCTCGGACCCCCGCGCGGGTCCCGCGCCGCAGCCGCAGCCCGTCCGCGACAGGCCGCTGCCGTCGGCTCCCGCAGCTACGCGGCCGTGGCGGCTGCGCGGCCGGTCTCCGCCAGCCACCTGTCGACCAAGCCCGGCGTCTCCGCACCATTCGGGCCGCCCAGTTCCACCCGAGCCCCGCAGGTGCTGCACAGCGGCCGCGGGGGTGGGCCCCAGTTACCTAGCAACCGGGCGGCATCCTTCCCAGCAAGCACTGCTTCACCCCGCGGCGCCGGGACTACAAGGCCCGGCGTGCTCCGCGCGGACTACAAGGCCCACAACGCACCGCCCACCCCTTCCTCGCTGGCCCCCACCCTGTTCTCCTGAGACCCCGCCGGGCGAGCGCACGACCCCTTCCCGGCGCTCCCCGCGCCGTGCGCGGCGTGTCCTTGCGCCGGTGACCTGGTGTGCGTGGGGTCAAGGCGCCGGGCGGAGCGGCTCCGGCCAAAGCACCATGCGGAGGGGTGAGCGTAAGGCCGCCGAGGGGCCGCGGCCGGGGTCCCCGGTGCCCGCGGGCAAGGCCTCGCTGGAGGAGCCGCCCGACGGCCGAGCGGCGGGGCCCGGCGCGGGCCGCCGCAGCACCGAGTCCGAGGTCTACGACGACGGCACCAACACCTTCTTCTGGTGAGGGTCTGCGGCGCCCACGACCTGGGGAGCCCAGCCCCGCCCGGCCTGGGTCTCCCGCGGGTCCCGCCCCGGCTCTGGGCCGGGCTGCGAGGGGCGTGGCGAACCCCGCCTCCGAGACCCCGGGGGCGGCCGGGCAGAGCTCGCGCAGCGGGGGTGGCGGTGGGTGGAGGTAGGCGCCGGCTGGCGGGAGAGGCCCTGGGGCGGACCCCTCCCGGAGTCGGCCTCGTCCCCCTGCCTGCCCCGCCTCCGAGCGGCGCCCACTGCGCGGTCTTCTGATCCGAAGGACTTGGCTCCAGTCACCTCGGAAGCGCGGTGACCAGGCTTTCCCTGGCGTCCCTGTGCGAAGTTCACCTGTGCCCTCCGTCGTGTTCCCTTGGTTGCTTCACAGTGCTCCTGGACACGAAACCGCCTTGCTTATTGTCCCCCTGTCCCCCACGTAGCAATCACACTGGCTGGCTTGAGTGTCTCACTGTGCTTGGGGAGTTCAGTCAGCGTTCGTCGAGTAAAAGCCCTGTTTCTCACTTCAGTTGCCCCTAGCCAGCACTTCATGCACAGCGCAGTCCTGTCCCCCAACTCTGCCTTCAGTGGGGGCGGAGGGCAGAGGCCCCAGGAGCAGCTGGGAGCATGGCGCCTCGAGTTGAGTCAGGGCTGGGAAGGGCTGGGGTTCCAAGCCTGGCTCCTCCTCTCAACGACTGATCTTGGGCTAGCGCTTTGTCTTTCCTCATTTGCGAGAAAAATAAAGCCCAGGCTCCAGAAAGCATGGTTCATGAGAAGGGTTTGGCTTTTCTTTCCTGCAGGGTGCTCACTTCCCGTCCAGACGAACAACAGCCTTTCCGTCCTGCCCTAGACTCTGGGGGACGGTGGAGTGTATGGGGCCTCTGCCCCAGGAGAGAGCGGGAACACAGGGTGTACGGCCAGCTGTGGGAGGCAGCTGTGTGGAAGCAGTTCCAAAAGAACCAGGCTCTGGGACATGGAGAGCAGGTTGGGTGGGGCTGAGGAGAGCCTGATAGTGGGGTGTTGGAGGAAGGTCCCCGCAAAGGTAGAGACCTCACAGGGCCCTGTCATATTCTGGCCTGTATCGCTGTCTTACAAGGGCGAGTGGCAGCGGAAGCTCAGGAGAGGAGGCCGCCCAACAGCTGGACCCCATGCCGGGGTCTTCCCTGGGGGTGTAGGCAGCTGCTGCAGGAGGAGCAGGGGCAGATGAGCCCTCCTTTGGGGAGATAATGCACTCTGGTGGTTGTGGAGTCACTGAGAGAGACGGGTGGGGTGCCCTGGGTCAGTGGAGGCTCAGCCCCAGAGCTGGCGCCACCAGACTTCCTACCCTCGGGGGCCTGCTCTCGGCCAGGTGTCCTGCCACGCACCCTTCCGACAAGAGGGAGGGCGCCATCCTCCGTCCACACAACTGGTGTCTGCTGGAGTCGCTGAGGTCCTGGATCAAGGTGGCTGGACTGGATTGTTCCTTATTCAGTCATCCAGCACGTTTTTGGGGATCCCTGCTGGGTGTCAGTTACTGTTCTGCAGGATACAACAGAAAACTACACGAGAAGCTTAGATTCTGGCAGTCCCAGAACTTCAGAAGACACAGTATGGGGCGGCTGCAGGGATGCTGAGTGTGGCAGAACCGGGAGAAGCACTCAGCTCACCCAGCGCCAGGGAAGCTGCTCAAAGAAAGATTTCTTTAGACGCTCAGAGCAGTGGCCCTCAGGTTCCTGCTCACAAGGGGGGTTTGGGACACAGACGCCTGGCTGTAGCACGGCCTGCCTGTGAGGACGCTGAGGGGGTGCGACTGGGCTGGCGGGTTTCAGGTAGCTTGGGTGGGTGGCTCTGGCTTCCCCCCAAACCCTATGCAGAGGAACATGGGGCAGTCTCTGGCTGTGTCTCTTCCTTTACCTGTACTGGGGAGGGAGCTTCACGTTTCTTGGTGGCAGGCAGGTAATCAGACGCCTGCCTGGTGAGAAGTACCTGCGCTGACCTGCAGAGCCTTGTTACTGACCTCCTGTGTCTCCCTTCACTGACTTGCTGCGTTAGGATTTTAAAAACTCTTATTTTGGCCTGGCGTGGTGGCTCACGCCTGTAATCCTGGCACTCTGGGAGGCTGAGGCGGGAGGATCGCTCGAGGTCAGGAGTTCGAGACCAGCCTGAGCAAGAGCAAGACCCCGTCTCTACCAAAAATAGAAAGAAATGATCTGGACAACTAAAAATATATAGAAAAAATTAGCCGGGCATGGTGGCGCATACCTGTAGTCCCAGCTACTCGGGAGGCTGAGGCAGGAGGATCGCTTGAGCCCCGGAGTTTGAGGTTGCTGTGAGCGGTTGCTGTGAGCTAGCCTGACACCACGGTGAAGTGGAAAATTAGAAAATTGCACTAAAGTGGAAAATTCCACTACCGGGCTTTGTCCTTTGCAATCCTTACCTGAGGCCCCTCCTCCCCTGCGACCTTTCCCCTCATAAATCACCTGTAGCAATTAGTGTACCAGGCTGTAAAATAGCCTAGGACTCTGCCTCCCTAAAGTTAACCCTGTTGTAACCATGCCCCTCCCCCTTAAGCCGAGTGTATAGAAGACTGCAATGCTCTTTGCGTGGTGCTCCGAATTTGGAGGGAAAAATCCCCATCTGAGCCCGATGGCGTATAAACCTGTTTTTGCCAATGTTTCCGTGTGCGTGTTGGTCTATTCCCAGCCATCTCTGCCGTAACAACGGCACTCTAGCCCAGGCAACAGAGCAAGACTCTGTCTCAAAAAAATAAATAAATAAACAAAACAAAAAAACCTCTTATTTTGTGTTTTAGAGAATTTTAATAATGAATTTGCAAAAAGTTAACACAGGTGAAGATTAACCTAAAAAGTATATATTTGTGGAAATGACTTTTGGTTCCAAAATTACCAAAAGGAAATTTTGTATGATGTAAAACCTCGCTTTTAGGGTTTCATTTCCAAAGCTGGACAGGTTTCTTTGGGGCCAGTCACGGCTCTGGTGTGTGGATTTTGTTTCTTTGTGATTGCTTTTTGGCCACAGGGCAAGAAGCTCAGGTTCCGAGTTCGCTCTAGCCCTGGAGCAGCAGCTGCGCTCTCCTGCTCTGGGTCCGAAGTAGTGAGGACATTGTCTCTTCTGCCGGCTGTGGGGAGCACCGGGGGAGATGTTTGGGACGGCAGACTCTGAGAAACACTGTGCAGAGATGCATCAGCTAACGTCTAAAAATTGGGAGAACGCTTGGGACCTGTTACCCTGGAGCGGTACGGGGGAACGTTGCCACCTGTCGGTGGAAGACGGTGACGCACCCTCAGGTTACCGCACTTGCTAAGCACCTCCGCCAGGGAAGAGGTGGTCTGACCTTTTGAGCGTTTTTATTATACGCTTAGATCTTAGAGCACTGAGCCTCTAGCGAGTCTTCCTAGTGACTCCGTGCGTGGACTTTGCTGTCATCAGCATGTCTTGGGGTAGCTCTTTAACCTCGGAGCCTGGGGAGTGTGGGGGTGATCTTAGACGCCCCAGGTTTCCGAGATCCATTCTCCGTCTTTGTGCATTTGCCCACGTCTAGGAAGCGTGAGTGGCTACATGCAGCCGTCTGGGCCATGCTGGCAGCAGGCGAGGAGGGCCAGTGACACAGCCTCGCGGCCTCTTGCTGGCCGTGGACAGGCCCTCTGGTCTTGGCCTTTCCTCGGCCCGTCTTCAGCGATGTGTCGACTTTTCCTCTAACTGATCTTGGCATGCCTGCCTTCCTGCCCACTCGGCCTGCGTGTGGCCATCTCTGCAGAGGGACTGACAGCGGGGTGTCCTCCACCCATGGTGGCAGGGAGCCGGCTGTCCTCAGGCCCTCATCCTTGTTGAGTGTCTAAAGTCCTGGGGTTTACCGCAGCTCTTGTCCAGGGCCTGCTCGCAGGACCCAAGCCTTCCCGGGCGTCTGCCCAGGGTCAGGGTGGTGGAGGAAGGGGCCGCTGCGCACAGATCTGGCCTCTTGGGAGGGACAAGGACGGATGCCTTTGGAGTCTTTCTCGTGCTGTCTTGAGTGGCACCCTGTCTCTCTGCCATGTACGTGTGGACGTTGTGTTGTGTGTAAGACCAGGACTGTGACGTAACAGCATAGATCTTACTTTCCAGGAGCGTGTGATTTTGGCAGTTCTGACATCTGTCCTGCCGGGTGACTGTTGTGCCTGGGCCCTTACCCCCCACCTGCCTTTCTGCTTTGGACAGGACAGAGCTGGGTCCTCTTCATTCCTGATTCTGCTTCCCCAGGGCCGGGGTGCTGCTGTTCCTTAGAACTGCTGGGGACAGAGCCGGGCCCAGAGAGTGCTGGTGCCTACTGCCCTGTCCTTGTCAGGTCTCCGGGTGGCGCCGCCCAGTGTGGGGTGGAGCATCCTGCTCTGCAGTCCCTGAGCCTGGCTCTCCTGAATCCTGACCTTGCAACAAAAATGGTGGCTTCATGACTTTTTGAAGTTATTTTATTTTTTAAATTCCCATACATTAAAGCTGAGTTTGTAGGGACACACACATCTGTGAACCTTAACATGTGTTGGATTCATGTAGCCACAGTCACAGGTGGGTCGTAGCTGCCTCTTGGTGGTGGTGTCCTCCCCTCACCCTGCTCTCCCAGCAGCCTCTGTCCTCCCCGTGGTGACAGGGCCAGGCATAGGGCCCGTTCTGGAGGCACAGCGTGTGCGTTCCGGAGGCTGTCTGGTCGCGGTGCTGGCGGTACATCATTGTTACGGCTGAACAGTATTTGTGCTACAATCTGTCTTTTAGTTGGTATGTTTAGATCATTCACGTTTAATTGTTGATGCATCTGAATTTAGATCTGCCTCTTCTCTCTGTGCCCTCTTTTCTCTTTCCTGCCTTCTTTTGGGTTGTGTAAACCTTTTTCATATTCCACTTCAATCAAGGTATTGTCTCATTGGTTACGTCTCTTTGTGGGGCTCTGAGTGGTTGCCGCAGGGGGCACGGGGAACGTGCCCGGCCTCCCCCGGCTGTGGTGGTCCCACAGGCGGTGTTGTGGCTGTTGGTTTTGAGAATCACCCACGCTACTCACTGTTCCCGGTGCCCTGGAACTGTTGTCTGCCGGCAGCGTTTCTCTTGCAACTCCGTTCCTGGAGAATGTTCCCTTCACCTTCGTTCTTGAATTTGGAATCCTGTTTAACATTTCTTTTCTTCCAGCGATTTACAAGCTTCGTTCCACATCCTGCGGCCTCAGTGGTTTCTGATTTGGTGTCTGGCGATTTCGGGTTTGCTTCTGGACTGCTCTTGACGTCCTGTGTAAAGAAGCCGATGAGGGATGTGTGAGCTGTGCGGGGCGTCAGAGAGCGGGCTTTGGGGTCAGCTCTAACAGAATCTCATTTCTGACTTCATTCTTCTTTCCTCTGAAGATGCCCGCCAGAGTCTTTGGGGTCTTCGCGGGCACAGCCCTGCATTTCTGGGTGTTCCGTCTTTGCGGGATGTGCCTCTCTGCCCGTCGGGTGGGAGGAGCCTGCCCTGGTGTAGGTGGGACCATCTAGCCCCCCATTTTCCAGACAAGGAGAGTTTGGGAAGGTGCTCAGGTCCCACCCACCGCCCGGGCAGGTGTGTCTGGACAGGCCTGGAGTGGACACTGCTGGCTTCGAGCAGTTCTGCCCGGTCACATCGGACCCTCACGTTTCACGTCTGCCCAGTCGGCTGACCCTGTTGGCTGTATCTTCCGGACAGATCCGAAGTCCCCCCACCTCCTTCCTGCTTGTGGCTCACCTGGTCACTGGCTCCCTGCAGTGGTTCCCGTCCGTGTGCATCCTCACTGCAGCTGCCACGCGGCCTCTCGGAGGCCTGGGCGTCGCAGCCCGCTGTGCTTACTGCTCCGCAGCGGCTCTCGCTCAGCCACAGCCCAGGCTGCGTCCTCAAGTGGGGTGTGAGGGACCCCTCTTCCTCCAGCCACACTGGCCTGGCCGCTTCTGTCTCGAGCCCTTTGCACTGTGTTTCTGATCGGGAAGTGTGTTCCCAGGGGTCCCCAAAGCCCCCTGACTCTGGTCTGCCTGAGTGTCCCTGCGTGAGGCCCTCCCTGACCACCCCTGCCCTGCACTCACAGCCTCCTTTTGTTTTCTGCATAGCATGTAGGGTTTCTGTTTAGCCCTCCTGTGTTAGTCTGGCTGCACTGGAAGGAAAGAAGGATCAGGAAGGGAGATTGTGGGTTCTGTTTGGTGTGTGGCCCGTGGCAGGTGCTCAGGGAATGCTGTGTGTGGATGAGTGGTCCCACCACCTAGTCTGTGCCCCGCAGGGCTCCTGCCCCAGGCCCGCCCCCACTTGCTCTGTGACCTTCACCAGCCCCGACCTGCCTTGGGGGCGCCACACACACACACACACACGCAAACACACACGCATGCACACACGCATGCACACACGCACGCACACACGCATGCCCACGCGCGTGCGCGTAAAGCTGCACTGGCGCCCAGAACCGCTCAGCCGGAGCCGCTGTGCTCATTGTCGTCACTGACTTTGTGGTCTGAACACTCTTGGCTCTGCTCATCCCTACCGGGGTGGTCTCGGTCCCCTCACTTAATCCGACGTCCCCACGGAGAGGGAAGGGTGGGCCCGTGTTCCCTCATGCCAGCTTGTTTTATTGGCATAAAACAACTAAATAAATGGAGAGATTTCCTTGCCTCCATTGTATAGTAGAAAGTTAAAAAGAAAATGGGAAAAATATTCCATGTCTCGTGAATGAGAGCCCTCAGTATTAGTCAGATGTCAGTTCTTCTCTCACTAATTTATAAATTCAGTTCAGTTCAATTCCAGTCAGAATCCTAATGGAATTATTTGTGGCGATTTGCCAAACTGCTGTTGAGGTTGATGTTGGTGAGTAAACGTGAAGAATAATCGGGGTCGGAAACACAAGGGCGGCGTACCAGCCGCCACGGTGGGCCCCGGCCGTGGTCCAGCGCGGAGCCCCCGCCTGACGTCCCGCAGCTCCTGCCTTGCTCTCGGGGACACCGTCATCCGGTTGAGGTGTGGCTGTGCTCAGGTGTGGTGATGCTGGCACGTGACGGCCTTGTCGTGCACAGCACCCCCACGCCCGCGTGCGGAAGGTCCCGCTCCCCAGCCTGATCTGCTTTGTTTCTGGTTGGTCTCAAATTCCTGCGCAGAAGTGCTGCTCCCGCCTCAGCCTCCAGGGGGCGTGTTTTTGAGGTCCGTCCACCTCGTGGCCTTCATCAGTGGCTCCTTCTCTCATTGCCAAGTGGTGTTCCGTGGTAGGGGTGGACCATGGTTTCTCATGCACTGGGATTTTTGGTTTCTTTCCAGTTTCAGGTTATTATAAATAAACGTTCACGTACGAGTCTTTGAGTGAACCTTTGTTTTCATTTATCTTGAATAAATATTTTGGAGTAAATGGCCGGGTTGGATGATAGACGTATGTTTAACTTTTCAAGAAATTGCCAAGCTGGTTTCCAGAGTGGCTGCGTCATTCCGCACCCACCTGTGGCAGACGAGGCTCGTGTGGCCGCGCCCTCAGCACGTGGCGCCATGAGTGCTCTGACCTCGGCCGCTCAGCGGGGGTGCACCGGCGTCCAGCTGTGGTTTTGATTTGCTCTCACGGCGACAAGTGAGGCTCCCTGTCTCTTTATGTGCTTATTGGCTGTTTGTATACTTATTTTCTTTGTCAAGTGTCTGCTCAGGTTTTTGCCTTTTTTTGTTAGACTGTGTATCTTTGTTGAGTTGTAAGAGTTCTTATATATTCTGGATACAAAGTCTTTGTCAGGTATGTGTATTGTGACTGTTTTCTCCCAGTTTGTGGTTTGCCTTTTCTTTTCTTTAGGGTACAGCTGCTGTTTGTAACAATCCGTGTGTCATGGAGGGAAGTCCTGGGCTGCATGCTGTATGCGTGTTGCTCGCTAGTCCCCGTGGTGTCCCTGGAGGGCAGGAGTGCCCCCCCCCTAGAGATAAGGAGACCAGTGCAGAGGGTCACGTCATTTCTCCAACTTTACACTCCTCGTTTGGATGTAAGAACTGGGTCTCTGACTGTTTGCAGCAGTTAAAATGCAGAGGGGGTCTCAGGCGGGATCCAACACAAGCTGTGGTCAAGGTCTGCTGGCATGTGGTTCTGGTGCCTGGCTGGCCGTGGGTGTCCAAGTGAGGCGTCTCCACTGGGGTGGGATGGGCTGAGGTGCCAGAGGTGGAGCCCCTGCCCCTCCCTCCCCCAGCCAGGCTCCTGTGAGTGAGGAGCTCTGTCAGGGGTCGTGTTCTCCCTTTGGGTCCTGGTGTCCTCTCAGCTCTTCGTTTCTTGGGCCGTCATTCTTGTGAATCTCTCAGCTGTGGTGGTTTCATAAACCCAAAGGAAGGTCACCTCAGCGCATCCTGCTCAGTGAAAAGTGCCGTATTTACTCACTGTCTGGTTGCTCCTAACAACAGACACCTGCTCTGGTCGCCTGCAGCTCCCTGGGAGTGGACACAGGATCATCTAGGAGCACCCAGCCAGGGACTGCCAGCCACTTGCTTTCTGGGAGTTGGAGAGTGAAGTTGAAGCTCTCTCCTTTGTGCAGAGACCTGGTTTCACGTCGCGTGAGTATTTGACAGTGCTGTCCGTGCTCTGACGTGATCGTGTGTCTTCGATTTCAGGCGAGCCCACACCTTGACTGTGCTGTTCATCCTTACCTGTTCGCTTGGCTACGTGACTCTCCTGGAAGAAACACCTCAAGACACAGCCTACAACACCAAGAGGTAACAGGCCCGCCTCGTCCTGCTCTCTGAACTGGGTGTGCGTGGTTGGTCTGGTGTCCTTGCTGTCCTCAGGCCGGCCAGGGGCTCAGGAGGCTTTCCCTGGCATCCACAGGAAGGCGGGCTGGGGCTCCTGGCCTCCCTCTCCAGTGGGTCTGACACACCAGAGTCCTAGGGCTCCCCTTGGTGCTACGTGGCCTTTCTTGCCTGTGGACTGGTCAGCCCCTGTCCTGCCTGTCACTGGGTCCCTGGAGTCCATGTCACCTTCCATGTGACCTGCAGCTTGTGCTGCGTTTTCTCTGCATTTCAGATGTTGAGAGATCGGGATGTGCCTCGGCAGCCTCCAGTGGTGGAGCCGTTGTTTTGGGTGTCTTGAAGTGTCGGGTTTTTTTGCGAGGGCCAGTGATGGTTCCCCCAGTTAGCTGGCATGGTTCTGCTGTGCTGGTGTGTTCTGTGTTTTGGTTTTTGTTTTTTGGAGACAAGGTCTCACTCCGTTGCCCTGGCTAGAGTGCAGTGACATCATCAGAGCTCATAGCAGCCTCAAGCCACTGGGCTCAGACGATCCTCCCTCCTCAGCCTCCTGAGTAGCTGGGACTTCTGGTACTTGCCAGCATGTGCACCTAATTTTTTATTTTAATTTTTTGTAGAGGCAGGGTCTTGCTGTGTTGCTCAGGCTGGTCTTGAACTCCTAGCCTCAGCCTCCCAAAGTCCTGGGATGATGGGCGTGAACCACCATGCCTACCCTGCACTGGTGTTGATGCTGGCACTTTTTAAAAATTTAAACCACTTCAATATGTCAGGCGATTGTCCATGGACAGCTCGTGGTCTCACTTCTGCAGGTCAGGAAGTAAGTCACTCCAAAGGCAGACTAGTCACTAGGATTGTCCTTTGCCTGAATTCCGTGGATTCTGAGGCCAGTGTGTGGAAGATAAGCTGGTTATAGAGCTTGTTCATTGATCTTGAGTTTTCACTTGACAGCCCCACCTCTCCCGTTCTCTCCCAGTCCTGGCGCCTGGGTGTCAGCTCAGGGCTGCATCCTGCCCAGCAAGGCCGGCTGCCGCCGTCAGGGCTCAAGCCCCGCTTGCCCTGACAGCATGGCCAGGGGAAGCCAGGGAGAGTCTGGAGACCAGCACCGGGCAGGGGCAGAGGTGGAGGGAGGCCCGGAGGCCTGTTGGTGGCAGGGCTGTGAGGCGGCTCTGGCTGGTGGGGCCTGGGCCTTACAGAACCTCCCTGTCACAACAGCTCTGGGCCAGCACTTGGCTTTTTGTAAAATGAGGGTCCTAATGTCTGTGTCATAATTAGATGGGGTCGGGGGGTGTGGTGTTAGGGCCACCATAACGATGCCAGGAGACTCGCCATCAGCGTGGCTCGCCCCTGTCTGTATGGGATGATTTAGATGGTTTAGAGATACCTCGTGACAGAGCTCGTCCCCTTAGGTGCAGCTGGGCATCTCTGGTTAGAAATTGGCATCAGGGTGCCAGGACCCAGGGCTCTGCAGCCACTTCCCCTGAGGAGCTCACACCCTGTCCTCCCAGGGAAGGTGCAGCTGGCCGCTCCCTTCCTGGGTCTCCCGCCCTTTTCCCAGCTCCATGCTCTGTGGGTTTTGCTCCCACCTCACCGACATCGATCTCCCAGTCGGCTTTTCCGGGCCTTCCCCTCCGTTCTGACCTCAGGTGCCAGCTTGCTCCCAGCCAGGCCAGCGCCTCTGCTGCCGCGCTCACCCTTGCGGCTCGGCCGCTCCTTCTTCCTTTCTCGGCCAGCCGTGCCGGTGTCGCATGTGGAGCAGCAGCGTGCGCTTGGGCAGCTGGAGTCCAGAGTAGGTGAGGGAGCCTGTGCCGGGGCCACCCGAGTCTGCCCTTGAGGCACTGTCCCTGTGCGGGGGCCACCTGGGACGCTGCGCCTGTGGGTGAGGCTCTAGCAGGGCCCATGTTTGCTTAGAGGGAATTTCCAGGTAGGGCTCGGTCTTTTCCAAGATTCATCCATCAGCACCTGGGTGTGCAGGGTCTGCTGCATCCCCGGGGGACAGTGGGCCAGCGAGTGCCAAGGAGCAGGACATGGTCACTCCTCAAGAGATGTCCCCATAAGGCAAGTAAAATTAGGCCAGAGGTGAGCAGTCCCAATGTCTCTGGGCAAGAGTTGTCGAACTCAGACCCTCGAGTGTAAGGGAACCCGAGTGGGCACGCCCCCTTTGTCTGGCACTGGCCTGTCCCGAGCTGCCCTGGCATGAGAGGCTGGGTCCTCCCACCCCCTCCAGCAGGAAGCTCCCGTGTGTGCATTGAGAGGAGGGACCAGGAGCTCCTGGGCGCTTTCTCCTCTGAGGGTCTATGTTGTGGAGACACTGTACATTGTCCTGGCTCACATTCTGGGGACCCACATTGCCTCACCCACTGCCTCCGCCCAGGAGTCTGGCGGCCTCACAGCCGGCACTCTGGCCTGCCCAGGCCTCACAGACCTTGGGGAGGCTGCTGGGCCAGTTTATTTTAATATGTGAGAGTGAGTTCATGCCCTTGAGCATAGGTTTTATGTATAGAAAAGACCTACTACAGGTTACCTTTATTTTAAAAAATTAATATTTACATTATTAAAGTTAAAAATGTAGAAAGCTAGTTTGTTTTCTGTAAGCTTCCAGTTTCAGCTTGTGTATCTTTGTTCTTTTTATGCATCTAACAGTTTCTGTCTCTTTAGGGGGTTGGTTTTGTTTTGCTTCTTAAGTCGACCTTTTTTTTTTTTTATTTTTCTTTGAGACAGAGTCTCCCTCTGTTGCCTGGGCTAGAGTTCCATGGCATCATTGTAGCTCACAGCAACCTCAAACTCCTGGGCTAAAGCAATCCTCCTGCCTCAGCCTCCCTCAGCTGGGACTACAGGTCTGTACCACCACACCCGGCTAATTTTTTCTATTTTTAGCAGAGACGGGGTCTTGCTCTTGCTCAGGCTGGTCTGGAACTCCTGAGCTCAAGTGATCCTCCTGCCTCGGCTTCCCCGAGCGCTGGGACTACAGGCGTGAGCCACCGTGTGGCCAAGTCAACCTTATTGACGTATAATTTGATATGATATATAACTAATCAAAGCATACAGCTCGATGATTTTTGATGGGTATTTAATACATACACCTATGTGCCCACCGCTGAGCGGAGGTGGGAAATTTCCATTGTCCAAGTTCCTCTGAGCCGCCAGACGGCCACACCCCGGCACTTGGGAGCGCTGGTCTGTCAGCACAGATGTGCTTTGCCTGTTGTGGTTTCACGAAAAGGGCGTTGCTCAGTGCGTACTCCTCGGCGTCTGGCTTCTCCCACCCAGAATAACCGTTCGTGGCGTCCACGTTGTGTCTGTTGGGAGTTTCTCGCTCTCATTGCTGGGGAGGATCTCACGAGGATGCGCCACAGTTCATTGATCCGCCATCCACGGGTGACCTTGGGGACATTCCAGTTTTTCTGACCAACACATTTAGAGGGTCTCAATGAATTTTTTATTGTACTTACAAATTTAGTAAGTAAAACTTCACACATTTTAGTCATATAAAATATGTATAATACATATAAATATATAAATAGCTACACATTTAGAATATAACCGTACTTCATATATGTAATACATATAAAATATAGTACCTAATGAATATATTCACAGTGCCAAAGAGGAACAGGGTTCGAGAGCTGACACTGCCCAATTCCAAGACTTACCGTGAAGCTACAGTAATCGAGACGGTGCAATGTCGGCAACAACAGGCGCAGAGATCAACAGGCCTGAGAGAGCCCAGGAAGGGCCGCACGACGCAGTCAGCTGGTCGCGACAGGAGCGCAGGCAGCGCAGTGGAGAAAGGGCAGTCTTCCCACAAACGGTGCCGGAGCAGCGGGACACCCACACACGAAGGCGAATCTGGATGTTACACTTTTCACAAACATTACTCAAAGTGGATTATTGATAGGCCTAAATGCAAAATGCAAAACTGTAAAACTTCTTGCAGAAAATATAGGAGAAAACCTAGTGCCTCAGGTTTGGCGATGACTTTTTAGATAGAATACTAATAGCACGATCCATGAAGGGGAAAACTTGACAGGCTGAACTTCACTAAAATCAAAAGCTTTTGCTTTATAAAAGACACTGTTAAGAGAATGAGAAGAGGAGCCACAGGTTGGTTGAAAATATTTGCAAAACATGTATCTGATGAAGGACTTGAGCACAAAATATGCAAAGAACTCTTAAAGCTCAGTAATAAGAAAAGAAACGACACGATCAAAAACCGGGTGAAAGATCTCAGATGCTCCCCAGAGAAAGCGCGCAGATGACCGTCAGCACACGGGCAGGTGCTCAGCACCATCTGTCTTCGGGGAGTCGGAAGTCGCAAACTGTGAGACAGCGCAGCACGCCCATCGCCACGGCTAAAATTTAAAACACTGACAGCACCAGATGCTGACAAGGGTTCAAAAAACCAGGCACTCTTATCAGTACCAGTGGGAATGCAAAATGGCACGGCCACTTCCGAAGACAGTTTGGCGTCTCTCAGGGAACTAAACAGACTCTTAGCTTACGATCCTGCAGTTATGCTCCTAAGTGTTGATTCAATTGAATCGAAAGCTTACGTTCACACAAAAACCTGCACATGCATGTTTATAACAACTTTATTCATAGACACCAGAAATTGGAAATAACCAAGATGTCCTTCAGCCAGAGGGTGGATAAGTAACCTGTGGCGCATCTGGAATATTGTTCAGCCGTAAAAAGAAATGAGCTCTCAAGCCACAGAGACAGATGAATCTCAAGATGCATTGTAACTGCGTGGAAGAATCCCGTCGGAAAGGCTGCGTACCACACGATGCCGACTGGATAACACTGGGAAACTTTCCGGGAAAGGTGAATTTCGCAACGGTAGAAAGATGAGTGGTCTCCAGGGGAGGGGCGAGAATGAGCAGCAGAACAAGGCACCTTTATGGACTGCTTGGCGTCCCACCGTGAAGGTGGGTGCCTGACACCGTGCGTCGTCCAGACCCACAGAACTAGACAGCTGCGGAATGAGCCTTAATGCGTGCAAATTTGAAAAGCTAACTTAGGAGGTCAGGGATCCCAGGAAGGAAGGCAGACTGTGACAAGACACATCTCACCGTTCCAGAGGCATGCGGTGGCCTTCCTGCAGGGGCAGGGGAGAAGGTCCTGCGTCACTTGGGAGCCGAGTGGCGTCTGTGAGACTAAAGGCAGATGGAGCTGCATGAACACTGTGCTGGAACTGATAAAGTGTCCCAGGAGGTACCGGTGGCAGTTCTGTTACTGCTGTATGTGTTGTTGTGTGGGGGTGGTGGCAGCCAGGTGTTCGCTGTCACAGGCGGAATTCACAGGTAATCAAGGGGAGGAGGCCGGAAGGATCCACGTGGTAATAGATCATAGAGATGTCGGTCAGAACTCATGTTTAGCTTAGTAAAGATACAAATAGTTAAAAATATAAATATTTATAATGTGTGTATATGTTGGTTAGTATATGCACAGTTATCTTATTGCTCTGTGAGCTGAGAGGACCCAGAACCTACTCCCCGCCAGGAGCAGCGAGTACACCAGTGCCCAGCTCTCGGGTTCTGACGTTCTCCAGTGAAAGGACCCAGAAAGCAAAGAACTGCTCAGAAAGACACAACAAAACCCCACAGTGACAGGATTATGTCAAAGCGATGCAGGAGCCAAGTGAGAGCTCTCAGTGGCCAAACCTGGAACAGTTTCAACAACAAAATCACTGCAGTGGTGTTGGAATATAGCCCAGAGCATGAAAAATAGGACGTAAGCAGTGAATGAATAAGGAAGGAAAACAAGATTTCCAAGTAACGATGCAGCTACTCCCCCTGCAGGAGGTGGAGCGCAGCCTTCCGCCCCTCACCTGTGGGCTGCTCGTGGGGACTCCTTCCAGCCAGGTGCGGTGTGGGAAGGGGCGGTGGCAGAGCGGAGGGGCCTGACCGGCACCCCGGCCAGGTGGTCGGGTGGCACCGCCAGTGATGAGGTGTGCACCTTGGTAGCACTGGCGAAAGTGGCGCCTCATCCCTGTGGTCTTCCTCCCAGAAATCCGTAACCCCATCCTAATCACGAGGAGACACGGCAGACCACCTTAATTCGGGGATATTCTACGAAATCCCTGACCAGTTCTCAAGACTGTCCAGGTCCTCAGAAACAGGAGAGTCTGGGAAACTGTCATGGCCGAGAGGAGTGTGGGGAGATGGGACGCCTCCCTGTCACGGGGAGTCCTGGACGGGATTGTGGGACAGGAAAGGACATTGGGGAAAAGCGAAGGAAGTCTGAGCAAAGTGCAGACCTTAGCTAGTGGTAACGTATCCATACTGGCTTGTTAATTGTGACAGGTGCACCGTACTGACGTCAGGTGTTAATACTGGGGAAAGTAGGTGCGTGATACGTTGGAACGCTGCTGTCCTCACAGTAATTCTATAAATCTCAAACCGATCTAAAATTAAGTTTATTTTAGAAATGTAATGTATTTGTTCCTCTTTTAAAGTAATTCCTTTACCCAAATGACATACCTTCCCACGTACTGAAGCAATTCTTACAGGCAAATTAGCCTTATAAAGTCATGAGAAACACATGTGATGTGTAGCCAGGTTGGCATTCCTGTGTCACCTGGTCTGAGCCGGCTCCTGAGCCTCGTCATGTGCAGAAGCCACCAGGCTACCCCAGGAGCCCAGCGCCAGGCACGGCACCGGGTGGCCAAGGCGCAGGGACCGCCCCAGGGCGGGCGTGTCACAGGTCAGCCCCCGGGCAATGCCAGGAGCGTCCTCCTTGGTCAGCACCCAGTTCCTCTTTTCATTTCCTTCCTTCCCGGGGCGGGCAGAAGAGCATTTACCGTCTCTCCCCTAACAGTACACCCTCTTCCACGCACTGGGGAAGAGCAGCTGAGTTGGGGCCTGCATCTTGCTCTGGTGGCCCTGCAAGGTGCTTCTCACACCCCCGAGCCAGGCAGTGAGGTGTCTCTGCTCCCATCCCCAGGGCTTGGTGTGGAGGCTTCTCTGGAAGCGCACGTGTCCCTTGGGGGGTCCGTGAACATCCCACCAAAGGAGAGACCCTCACGGCTCTGGGCTCAGAGCAGCACACGGCCCGAATCACTGGGCCCTTGCCCCAGCTGCATGAGGGCTGGGCCCCAGCCTGTGCTCCCCGGGTCCTGCGAGTCTCACGCTGTCCCTGGCGGGGCTCTGCCTCACTGTGTCTGCTGGCAGCTTCCAGACCCAGGCACTCTTGGTAGGCAGAGAGGAGAGTTTTTTAGGCTGAAATTTGTCACTAGATGGTTTTAAGAGCACCGTTGAGAGCTCTGTGGCCCGTCCGTTCTTGCAGCTGCGTGAGTGTGCATTTGTACGTCGCAGCTGCGTGGCAGCCACAGCCTGGACGCAGCACAGCATGTGAACCCGTGGGCGAGACTGTCAACGGCACGTCCCTCTGCAGGGGGAGGGGCGCTGCCTGCGGTGGCTCTCAGGGCGACCCGGACAGGCACGTCCGTGCGCCTACAGAGTGAAGGGCAGGCCCGCGGCCGGGGAGCACCAGTGGTGGTGAGCAGGTGCCGCACGTCCAGCCTGCCGTGGGCAGGCAGAGGACTCCTGGCTGAGGCTGTGTGAGCAGCTGTGTGGGGGCTGCCTGCGCTGCGCTCCCTCCCCGCGCACCTGTCTTTACCAGTTTACTCGGTCGCAGTTGTAGCGCTTACACTTCCATCTTACGAATTGCGGGAGTCCTGTTAGCATTGGATGAGGGGACCCCAAAAGGACAAAAGAGTGCTGTAAAAATACGGGGGTCCCTGCCACGTCGGCGGAGAAAGCCATCAGCTCCTAGTATCCTTCTGTCTCGTGCAGACGTTAGTGAACCCTGGTGCTCGTGTACGGAATTTTAGGTGGCTTTTCTTCACGTAAGGCATGTGTCCTAGTGGTTCAGCACTTCACAGATGACAAATGTGGGGCTGCGACTGGGCCCAGATGAGATGTTGGTCGGGGGGGTGGGGTTGGCCCCGGCCCAGCCCTCCCTGCTGCACAGTCCCCAGCTCTGCCCCGAGGCCGAGGCCAGGGCTGTCCCACAGTGGGTGTCCCGGGTCCCCGCTGCCTCCTGCCTCCCTCCTGGGAGAAGCTTACACACACTGAGGGGCTGTTTGTTCTTTATTTGCAGAGGTATTGTGGCCAGTATTTTGGTTTTCTTATGTTTTGGAGTCACACAAGCTAAAGACGGGCCATTTTCCAGACCTCATCCAGGTAACTTGCCATTTCTTCTTCCGTGTGTGGCAGTTCTGTTCTGAGCAGTCACTCTGTGTCTGTGCTGGGTGTGAATGTCCCCACCCCTCGCCCCCGCCTGGCCCTGCCCAGCCGCCCACAGCAGGGACGGAGGGCATGGGGCCCGAGTCGTCTGCCCCTCTCCGTCCAGGTGAGGGTTCCTTCCGGCCCTCGGGTCCCTCACTGCTCCCTGTCCTGGGCTCTCCCGCCCTCCTCTTGCTGCCACACTCACTCTCGTCCTGCAGGCAGGGCGGCTGGGCTCAGCGGGGGCTGGGAGGCGCCCCTCCCCTCGGCTCTGCCTCAGTCGCCCCCAGTCACCTGACGTCTAACCAATCCCAGGGAAACAGAGGCACAGGTCCTCCCCCAGGGCATACGCCACTTCCCGCCGGCCGGGCTCCTCCTCCCACCAGGCCTCTGTAGGGACGGTTGGTTGGTTCCCCTGAAGGCTCACGCGTAGTAACTGGAAACATTTCTTTTCTGTTTCAGTAGGGGTATGTATAGTCGAAAATTTAGAAAACACAAAAAATATTTTAATTAAAAATAAAAACCACCCACAAAAAATAACCACCACTAAATTTTGACGTGCTATGTATGTATAGGTAAACATAGCCTCAAAAAAATGAGAAGAATAACATATGTGTGGCTTTATATCATGCATTTTTCACTTTAGGTTTAACAAGCATTTCCTTATTCACTAATTTTTTTGTTTGATAACTGGATTTTTAGTGGCTGCTTGTTTAGCTGTTATTTGAATGTACTATAATTTTAGTTAACCAATTTGCTTACGCTGTAATATCATGTATTTGGGAAGTTTCCAGTTGTACTGTAATAAACTAGGCTGTGGTGTATTTTTGCACATGTGCTCTGTAAATATCTGATTGTTCATTTTATAAGACATCCTAGGAGTAGAAGTATTGGGTTACAGGGCGAAACCTTTCAGGCCTGTGACATACATTACAAGGTTGCCTTCTAGGAGGGCAGTTAGTGCCATGGTGTGGGGCGCTCTGCCCTGGAGGCTCCCAGGCAGCTGGTCTTGTGGCCCTTCTGTTCCAGGGTCTTGAGAAACGGCCCCTTGAGGGGCCTGGTGGGACCCTGGAGCCGGGGGTCCACTGAGCACATCTGGTCTGGAAGGGTTTGGGCTGTCCCCAGGGCAGGGGGAGAGCGAGGGCGTGGTTTAAACTCCAGATCACACATGAAAAACCTGGTGCCGCTGGTGCTTGTTGGGTTGATTTACGGGAAGAAGCACTGCGGGAAGTTCAGCCCCTGTCGTCGTGGCTGGAGGCAGCGTCCCTCCCGGACACGGCCAGGCCTTGGGGTGGGGGTGGGGTCTTATTGTGTCTAAGCTTTTATTTTGAGCTCAGCTCTACCTTTCTTCTTTCGATTTAGTTTGCTTTGCATAAACTGCATGTTTCTCTGCCAATCTTTGATTGATTGATTGATTGATTGATCTGAGACAGAGTCTCGCTGTTACCTGGGCTGGAGTGCCCTGGGCTCAGGCCATCCTCCTGCCTCAGTCTCCTGAGTAGCTGGGACTACAGGTGTGCTCCACCACACCTGGCTAAGTTTTCTATTTTCAGTAGAGACGGGGTCTCACTCTTGCTCAGGCTGGTCTCGAACTGCTGACCTTAAGCTATCCTCCTGCCTCAGCCTCCCAGAGTGCTGGGTTTACAGGCGTGAGCACCTGTGCCCAGCCAAATCTTTGATTTATTAATGTAGGAAGCCTGGAGCCACCTTCTTCCACATGTTTGTGGCTGGCAGGAGACTCTCACACTGTCCAATCAGAATACACTGGCAGTGGATAAGCGATGGGTCCTACGCAGTGTAGCTCTCTGTGGGGAGAGCGAGGAGGGTTTCTGGCTCCAGAAAGACGGCCCCTGTGGGGTCCGCCTGCCTCCCTGCCTGCCTGCCTGCGTCTGGGCCAGGTACGCCGGGTCAGGCCACTGCGGCAGCAGCCGGGAGCAACTGTGTTGAGAGGCAAAAACGAGGCTCCAGCTGACCTCTCGGGGGAGCTGCTCGTGTGGAGACTTGTTTGGCCACAGTTCCAAGCAAGACTGTTCAGACAGGTCCTGGCCCACTGCAGAAGGCACCATCCCTGCGTGCTTTGCTTCCATCTGTGGCCCCTCCAAAAGCTGGCGTGCTCTTCGCGCATCAGGAGAGCACCTCACCACAGAGGCCGCCTGTCTGCTCTTCCCTCGGGCACCGTGTTTGGGGTGGGGCTGCTGGAATCGGGGAGACCAGCTCAGGAGCAGCTGGAGTTGCTGCAGGATGTGGGCGCACGGCCTGCTGGTATTGAGGGTAGGCTGGGTGGGCCTGGGCTCGAGGGTGAGAGATGAGTCCAAGGTGACCCACCTCCCCTGCAGTGGGGCCCCTGTGCGAGTGGCCCTGTCGGGTGTGTGTGGCTTCCGGGAGCACGTGGTGTTCCGAGCGCAGGAGGCTGGCTACCTGCCCGGGAGTCCTGTTCAGGGGGCCCTTTGGGTGCAGGCTGCCCTGAGTTTATTTCACCACAGACCCTTTAGCTGCTGTTGTAGCTCTTGAACCAGTGAGAATTTCCCAGACAGAATCTTCTTATCCTTCAAGGCATGAAGGATAAGTTCGTAATCTCCCTTTTTTATCTCATGTCCCTGAACTACTTTAGCAAATTTCCTAACAACTTACCACTTTTGTATTTCCTGCCTGTGCGAGGTGGCTTTTCGTATCCCATCACGGCTGTCTTCCCCCAAATGGATTAGGGTCAGCCCTGCCCAGAGGGCCTCCCACGGTGCTGGGTTTGGCCCTAAAACCTCATGTGTCCCTGCTGTGAGCCATGGCGGAAGGCAGGAGTATAGGGAGGGCTTAACATCAGGAGTCCGCTAACATAATGCCTCACGTTGTTAATGTATCACAGGAAAAATCAGTCCTCTGAGATGCAGAAAAATGAAAGTTCATACTTATCCATGAGAAAAACTTTAAAAAATCCTTTTTTTTTTTTTTTTTTGTGTGACAGAATCTCACTCTGTCACCTCAGCTAGAGTGCAGTGGCATCATCACAGCTCACTGCAACCTCAAACTCCTGGGCTCAGGTGATGCTCCTGCCTCAGCCTCCCAGAGTGCTGGGACCACAGGCCTGAGCCACCATGCCTGCCCAAAAGGAGATCTTTTAACATGATAAAAGGGATCCACCAAAAATCTACTGCAGACTTATCAACGATGGGAGGTTGAAAGTGTTACCGTGAACAGGGGACCAGAGTGTTTGCTGTCACTGCTCCTGTCCAACAGTTTATGGCCGTCTGTGCCACTGCAGTAAGACAAGAAAAGGACTAGAATGGAAGAAAATGGGAAAAAAAACATTTCAGAGAGAAACTGTGCTTAATTCTGGGTTCAACCTTGCTTTTTAAAGGCTCTACCAGGGACGTGCGAGGAGCCCAGAGCAGACACTGTGTCACGGAGTCGGTGGGAGGTCCTGGGGGGCTCCTCTGCCAGGAACCAGCAAGGCCGGGGGCCTTGGAGGACCCAGTACCTGGGGCACGCTAACGCTTCTGTGTTCTTTGTCTTCGTAGCTTACTGGAGGTTTTGGCTCTGCGTTAGTGTGGTCTACGAACTGTTTCTCATCTTTATACTCTTCCAGGTAAGCGGTTTTTCTTGGTTGGATAAACTGTGGGAACTTAGGAGACAAGGAGGCCCCAGCCAGGGTGACAGGTGACAGGGGGGTGTTGCACACTCAGCCCTCCAGAGCGCTGATAGGAAGCAGGGCCCGACCCCAGCAAAAGTGGCCGGAGGCTGCATGGGGACCTCCGGAAGCATCCGTCGGTGGGAAACTGCCCCTGACCTTTCAGCGGGGCCTCAGTGGGCGGCACAGATGGCGGGGGCGGGGTGGGGGTCGGAGGGGAGGCCCAGCGATGCTCACGCCTGGAGGTCTGTGCCCTCGGCATCGCGTCCACACCTGTGCCGGGACCGGACACTGCAGAGAGGTCAGCACGCAGACGCACGTCGGGCCATGCATGCTCGCTGGGTTTCTGGGTTTGGGTTTGTGGTGGCCACACGTGGCTCTGTGGACCATTCTCCCTCCCGGCGCACATTTCGAGAGGCGATCAGCGTAGAGGGTGGAAACTCATCTCAGTGCATCTTGGGTCAGGACGCTGCCACTGATGTCTGTTTTATGAATCCTCGTTCTGCTCAAGTAACGAGCACACGTTTTGGTGGCTGCCTTCGGTGTGCCAAGGACTTTCTTACTCATAAGCTCGAAACTCTGTCAGTGAGTGGCCAAGTTTCTTACCGTCACGGCAGAATTGACTTTGGGGGGATAGGTGTGCGAGTCTGTGAATTTTAGCACTTGCATGGATTGTGGAAACTGCCCCCGACCCTGCACCCGGGGAATGGTCTGCCCCGTCTCTCCAGCTTGTGTCTGGGAGACGTCGTGTGGACGGAGGCAGCCGTGTCCTGGGTGCCCCCGGTGCTCTGTAGGCTCTCGCGGTCCCTCCGGCTGCTCTCGGCGGCCCGTTCCTCCTTCGCACGGTGGACCGCGGCGGTCCGTGCGCCAGATGTGGGGAAGCACTTGGTGGTCAGGTTCAGGGCCGTCGTGAGTGGAGCCGCTCTGAGCGCTCCCCGTGGGCCTCCTGTGCTCACGTCACAGCCTCCAGGGCGACGCCCGGCGGCAGCGTCTCCGTCTCGCTCCCCACCAGCAGTGTCGGCGCAGGCGCCCCGCACTCCTGAGCACTTGGGACTGTCAGGCTGGCGCGGTGGGACCTTGGGGCTTCGATCCGCGGTTCTCCGAGTCCAGTGGCGCCGACCAGCTTTCTCACACGAGTGTTCTCTTTAGTGAAGTGTTCAAGCGTTTGCCCTTTTCAAAAATTGGGTTGTTAGTTTTTGTAGTCTTGTATCGTGATGGTTTTTCATGTCGTCCTGATACAAGGTC